AAATATCACAAATCACACTGTTGCTCCCGTGACACAAAACATCAGCACTTTTGGTTTCCAGATCTTTCTTTTTTTTCTTTCAAATTTCATTCTCTTCCTTTCTGAGTTTTGCTCACATCTGACCCATATGTTCTCAATTACCTTCCTCTGGCCCACATTGTCAGTCTGGTATTTCCTCCATCCCTCCTTCCCTCCCTCTGTCTATCCCCCCTTCCTTTATCCATTTGGTCTCTTGATTCCTTCTCCATCAGTTCTTCTATCAGTGAATTCCTCTTATTATAACTCCCTCTTTTTTCCACTCACTCTTCTCCTTCCATTATTCCCACGTTAGTCACTGTCCTTGTTGTTGCATCCTACACAATCCTCCAACCTCCATCCTAGCATTTAAAGCTTCACTCCATATTACGTGAGTAGCCTCGTGACTGTTGAACATAACGATAAAGAGGAAAATCAGATGGTTTTATTTTCATTTTTCATTTTTTTATCCACGGACATCACTGTTTTTTCCATAAGTTTTGGAAAATATCCTGCACGCTGAAAATCTATCACAGCCTGAAGGGCTGCAAATAAAGATTATAATCAATCATCCGTTGGGTTAGTTTACTTGTCATTCTGTCTATAAAATTGGGGAGGAAAAAAACTGGAAAATTATCATTGTTGTGTCCAAGACCGCAAAATGACAACACCCACAGCTGTTCTGTTTCTGACACAAACCAAAGATTCTTATTTTCTAGAAAGGTGGAGCCAGCTCACACTGTGTTACAGGAAATGCATATTGATATGGGATATTATAGGAATTCATGAAACCTGTTGGCCACACCCACTTTTTGTTTGATTTGTGATCTTCAGTTTTAAATGTGCCGTTAGAATGTTGAAAAAAAGCTCCAGGATCATGAGGTTCTTGTTTTGTTTTGTGGCCCGCAGTAGAAAAACAGCTCTAGAAAAAAAGACAATTGATTTTTCTGTTTGCAATCTTTGTCAGCAAGAGGTCAGAATATTTCGTCCAAATTCAAGAAGATGTAATCACATATTACTACTAAAAGAGGGACGGATTGATGAAATATTGAATGAATTATAATATTTTGGCACTATATATTGTGCAGTATATAAACCACATTCTTATGTATCCATGTGTGTTAGGAAAGGACTGGAAAATCATTTGCGTCTGTATGTTTTTTGATTGGCCCTTAAGGCTTTAGAGTCAATGAAATTACCAACAGTTGTTCATCATTGGTCATTTTATATGTAACAATATGCTGATGATCTATTATTATTAGTAACAAAAGTACCTTATTTTTGCCAAAACGTTAGTGACCATTGGCTAGCTACACAATCCTAAATATGGCAGAAATATCTAGATATGACCTCAAAGTCTTGAAACATACTTTTGGTTTGGATTTATATCATTTTAAATATACCAAGAAACGTTCCGAAAACGAAGAAAAATGTGCCATTGTTTGCAGACCCTGCTGTGGGCGTGGCCTGTAATATTACAGTCAGGCATGGATGATGAAGCATATTGTTTTCTTTGAAATAAGAAACAATGTCGCTTTGCGTGGGCTGCTTTTTGTAACCATCGTCTTGTGCCTCAGTGACATTGTGTCAAAAAATGTGCTCATCCTTGAATTTCCTTTTTTTTTTTTTGCTGAGCTCAACAGAGCCCTTACCCAGAAAGCAGCTGACTTCGTGGCCTTCCATGCCTCGAAACTGAATCACCCTCTGATTAAGTCCGTTCGTACACAGCTTCCTAAAAGTGCCTTTGTTCTGCCTCTCGCTCCCCTCACCCTTCTGATCCCTACCCTGACAATATCTTAATGCAGTAGAGTTGAGTCTAAAATAGAGGCAGGAAATACAACAAGTGCAACTCTGTATCGTGCCGAGATGCTGTAAGTTTCAGTTTGAATGTTTCTTACCACTTCATGCGCGAAAAACAGTAGATGCGTCTGAAATTAAATGTGCAACTCTCGTCAAAGTGTTTCACACTTTACCTCCTGTTGCTGCGAAAAACAGTAGATGCGTCTGAAGTGTTTCACACTTTACCTCCTGTTGCACCAGTGCAGCCGATGACTAAGAAGTATGGTAAGAAGGTGATCTGAGAAAAGAAGTCATCATGAACAGTAAAAGGGCACGGAAAGAGAAGTCAACATGTCCATAGATGGGAAGAACACACGGGCACCATTTTATAACTTTAAAAAACGAGCTTCGACTGCAGTAGACCAGCTGGCCTCAACTTTTTTTTAACACCCAGACTGATGGAGAGAGGGAGCAGGCACCTCTTCTAGCTAAAATATATTTCGTAGAAAGTAAAGATTATTTATAAAACTGTGCCAAGAATTACAGTACCTTGTTATTTGCATCCAGTACTAAGGTATTCAAATATATTAAGATATCCACGTTTTTATTTTGAGCATGGTGGGTTCATGCTAGTCTATTCAAAGTAGGGCCAGGACAGTTCTCTTATTCACACTGAAACGTGACGTGCACATACAGTACACTCGTACCAAATTAATTTTTGCTATAAATGCATGGTGTGTTACTTTGTATTTTCCAAATGCGTTGAGGGTCAAATGGTAACACAGGGCAACTCAAACTTACCCAAGTTGATGCTTCCAGCAACTTTACAGCGCGGCTGTTGTGTAACGGACGTAAGCAATATTTTGTAGGTCGGTTGTTTGGGAGAGCTACGTTTTTTCAGGAAACACTTTTCTGGCTGTGCAGACTCTGTGGAGCCATTTTACTATGTTTACATCAATAAATGCCATGGCTTTAAATGTTTATTGGCCCAAACACAGGTCAAAAGTTTTTTTTTTTGCGTGATATTTACTCACATAAAATATCTAAAATGGCCGAATCCCTGTTGCTGTTATGTTTTCAAGACTCATCATCAAATTTGGCTAAGTATCGAACAATGAATTAATATGGCAGTGACAGTGAGACGCAACATTGGTGAGGCTTTTGTCCTAAGAGCAGGGAGACTCTGATAAGTGAACAGAATCGAGGGGAGAAGATGGGCCCCCACTGGCCCGTCTCACTGATGAGGACGAGGGATTGAGGAATGCAAAAGAGAAAGACAGTAGAGACAGAACGAGGACCATAACAAGGGCCAGTCGCAGACAGGATACGACAGGGACTGGAGAAAGGGAAGGAAGACATTCTGAAGTTGTCAGAGGAAACTCAGTCAGGAAGTGAAAGAGAAAAAGTAAGAAGAATAGAAATTGGTCAGGAGAGGGGTCTTTGTCAAGAGAGAGGTGGATAAGAGGGAGGAAGAAAACAGGAACAGAGTTAGAATGCCTCACTTGTCTCTGTTTCCTGTCTCCCTCGAGTGGGCTCCTCTGATTGGTTACTTAAGACACTAAACACTAAATGTTACATCTAAACAGGCACTCGTGACCAAAATAAAATGGAGGAACACAACAAATATCTAAAACAAACAACCCTTTGACAAAAGGTGTGTTGCGTTAGCCCGGAAATGTATATAATTTTGCTCATGAATTAGTTAGCCAATTTAATAGCCGATGAAACATTTAGTCACAAAGCATTACAAATTAGATAGGGAACTTGGAAATTGTTACACATTGGCCAAAAGGTATTAAAAACTATGCTAAGTTGAGCCTAAATTTGGTAGAAATTCAACAATAATTCAATTATTTTGTAAAATTCAATTTAAGTTGAGTTTTTCTAGTGAGCAAAGGTCAGAAATAGGTACAACAGCAGCAACAATGTAAATCTGAAAATAGTACTTGCTACTACTGTTACTGTTCAGCGGTTTACCTCCAACGGAAGACTCTCTGAGGTTTGTTGGATGAGTTAGTCTCATGTTTCCGTGTCTGACATCATAAGGAAAACAACAGACCACATTTCTGCTCCTGCTTTGCATCATTTTTACTATTTCACAGAAAGAGGGAAGCTGCAGATCCCAACCTGATCCGCTGCAGTCTGAAACCCACAGTACTAACTCACAGAGCTGTCAGGTTCTGGCCGTGAAGTTTTACTACTTTTATAATGTATTTATTTGTAAGAAAATGGAAGCCGTTTTCTCTTTTGGTTCTTTCTAACCCGTTTCTTCTGGGTGTTCCTGTTCCAGGTGGGAGACAAGGTGATGGTTCTGAGCCGCTTCGGGCTGTGGCAGGAGGTGGCGGTGGTACCTGCCAACCACACCTTCCTCATCCCTGAGGGCATGAGCTTCGAGGAGGCAGCGGCTCTTCCTGTCAACTACATCACCGCTTACATGATGCTGTTTGACTTTGGCAACTTGCGACCCAACCAGAGCATCCTCATCCATGCCGCTGCAGGTGAGGAGGCGAAAACACACTCCCACTCACACACAGATCAACTGTATATGGAGAAATATAATGTCCAACATCTGGGCCTGGAGCCAGTCATCACACTTTAAAGGGGTTTTGGTCACTTCCTTGTTTAATAAAATAGATTTTTCATGACTTCTTATCAGGCTAAAAAAAAAAAAATCTAAACCCTTTTTAACCTTTAGATATATGTATTTACAGCAGGCTGGGTTTCCCAGGGCAAGTTTATGAATTTACCAACTTTAAGCAATTATATAAAAATATTTTATATAACACTTTCTTATTTTGTGGTATATAATTATTCCATCCTGACTTGTTATTTATTTGTCTTATCACTCAGTGCCTCTGATGTCAAGCTATTTTTTGTTACATTTAGTCATTTTCTGCTAACATCCCATATGCTAACGTCTGGCTAACATTGTCCAACTTATTCAGTGACATCTGGGAGTGACTGAAGCCACTTGGATGATAAAAAACGTTTATCTACTTCTGCCAAAATAACAAATATAGAAGCTTAGACAATATGCTAAATCACACAGGGACACGTGGAACATAATGGAGGTTGTGTGTTTGTGTTATCAAACCTGGCTGTGCTTCATTTCTGTTGTTGCTTTTAATAACGCAGTGAGCTTATATAATGAAAAAAAAAAAAAGCACAATGAAGAGCGCAAAAGGAATTGTTTTCCAGTTTCCTTCAGCCTGACTGAAGGATTGGCAACTCAGACGTCACAGTGCTGTAATGCTGTGAGTGAAGAGAAAACACATTTAATCATTCGTCATTGTACAGCTGCAGAATAACATCCCTGCAGAAGGTAGTCACGGACACAATGTGTCTGGGCAGAGATATAAAGTTCAGTATCATCTGCAGAAACTCACTGTTTCTCGCAGCAGGGCTGTTTTCTGATACGGAGGAAACACTGTGACACTTTTATCAAACTTCCTCTTTCTCTGCGCCTGTTGTTTGTACAATTCCATTGACAACAAAACACGGCTGTTGGAGAGGGTCCTTCTGTAAATGCCAGACGTTGATGCTGTCGGTTGAAAACTGCAGCACCTGCCACCTGGACTGAAGGGTCCGGGTTCACAGTGAGGAGAGAGCTGGGAGACTGGGACTGAGGGAGTAAAAGCACATGTTTTGGGGTGGGATAGAGATGCATTCAGCCTGGGAGCACTGGATTCTGTTGTGTTTATGTAATCAAGTCCAGCCAGCTGGAGGAAATGCACACCGGATTAGGAACACATTTACATTTTTTTTTGGTTGTAATTCCTTTCTATAAAATACAAAGGAGACAAGAATATAAAAAATGACATAGAAATACAACTGATGTTTAAGTTAGAATTCCAAAGTTCTGAGGACAATAATGTGTTTTATATTTGAAAAATTAAAGGCTGAATTAGATTAGATTAAATTACATTTATTATTATTATTACTGTTTTCTGTTTCATCACAGGGGCCACATATAGAGATAGACAACCATCAACTCTCACATTTTAGTCCATTAGTTGTTCAATTAATCTAATCCCTAATCTGCATGTTCTTGGACTATGGTTAGAAACTGGAGAACCAGTGTTCATGTTCACATTGGGAGAACGTGTTAACGTTATACAAAAATCAAGGATTGAACCAGCCTTTTTTTTTTTTTTTTTTTTTGTGGTAAGGCAAGTTTGCTAACCACTTGGACCACTGTGTGGCTCAAGAAAAAACTCAGACTTCTGATATTTCTTTCCAGACCTAAGATCTTTTACTGGAATTCAAAGTTAGGTCAGATATTATGTGATATAAACAGAAATTTAAGAAAACTCTTAGAGTCAGATTCCAGCTTCTTCCTCTTTATGGTAAGGTGAAAGTTAAAAAAACAAATCTCTTCTCTCTTTTCCTAAAACTGATGTACACTTTTTTTATATTTCCCCTTCTCACTGTTTTAAAGTCAGAAAAGCATCCGTCCACATGTGGGACGAGTGTGTGGGTGTCGGCAACCGACTCAGAAATATGAGTCCAAAGCTTAAGTTCTCGCTGGAGGATAAAAAACTGACCACAGAGTTTTGGCCAGCAGTGGACCCAGGTGGACATGTCCCATGGATTTCAGACACTGATACTGAAACACTGCACTTGTGTTATTAAAAAAGCAGTTTTCCCAGAGCTGTGTGACAGCTAACACATTCATAGTTGTGGGCTTTTTGGTCAGAGTGGAATCCCAAATGTTTGCATACACAGTGTCAGAGTGGGTGTCACTCACGCCTGTGAAGACACTCATCATCTGAGGTTTTTAGTGTGTTTGCTACAGCAGGAAGCCTGCCTGTGGACGTGTGGTGGAAGACACTTTTTACCGCCGGTTCGGTTCAGGCGGCGTCTCTGGTTTCCCGGGGCAGGCTGCCATGTCTCGCCAGAGGTCCAGCCATCGGGATAATAAAAGCACATAACTGAGGCAATGACAAAAACATTTGCTCACCAGTCCTCTGGCCTGTCACTCTCTGTATATGGGAATGATTAGCACGTAATGCATAGGCACTTGTTTTTGTTATTGACTCAGGACCATCTCTGACAATGTAAATGGTTCTTACGGTTAGCATTAGCACTAATAGGAATCAAAACCTGGTCTTAATAAAGAAAAACTTTAAAGGACAGGGATTAAGAGATGTAGAAATAAATAAAGTTAAACAAAGAGTTTAATGAACACATGTTCCCCAGGGCTTGGTCTGCACGACAGTTGAATTGTGACTCAAACCTTCAAAGAATATACAGCAATAAAAAATACGGGGGCTCCTTAATGTCTGAGCTCTCTTCCTACGATGCAACGTAACTCAATTTTTGCCATAAGTCGGAACTCACGTTGTACATCAGTACCTATGTCACTGATGTATGCTAACACAGTGGTAACATCATAATCTAGGACGAGAAGAGTCGGACTTACGGCTGGGAGACAAAACGAAGGGCAAAAATTCCCCCCAAAAAACAAACACAAACCACAGAAAGCAAATGTAGAACAATTCAAAGTACGGCGTACAACAAGCGGATGTAAACAAAGCCGTCTTCCATGTATAGCGCCGCATGATAGCGTGTTCATCCGCTACGCTCACAACTAGTTGCAGTTCTTTCTTATGTACGTCAGAAACAAGACTTTCTTAATAAATTAATGGGAGGCAACAATGTCAAACAAAGTTTTTCTGACATAACAGAATTGCTAATCAAACCAAAATCCAGATTAAACTCAAGTATAGATACTACTAGAACATGGGAGACAGGGAAATGGTAGCAGGTGCTGTGGGACAAATGAGAAGTATTTGAATGTAGTGCATCGGGATACAGCGCCTTCCGTTGAATCCTTTGATTATGAAACACGCAGTAAGAAGTGTTGCGCTGCAGTTTAATCCTTCCCACAGCTTGAGGAGCACACGCCCAGTTTCACCACACAGAGTATTAGCCCGTCGTTACTGTACCTCACACTGTCTCGCAGGGCTTCCCATGAAGCAGCGTTTCCAAACACACGGCGCTGTGTGTATCAGACGTGCCTCCACAAGCATGCCTGCCAGGCCAGTTTATGTTGAGGAAACATAAATCTGTGATAAATGTGTTGATGTGAAGCTGATATACGGCAGCTTGATTTATTCCACTGCGGGCTATAAAGTCAACAGCTTCTGATACAGCGACCATATGCATTTCAGTGATGCTCTATGTCCATAAATCCTTCCATTCTCACATATTTGTAGTCTATACTGGAGAAGCTTCTTCTCATCGCGCAAAAGTCATAGTTGAGTGGTGTATTTGTCTGATATATCACTGGTGGTTTCACTCAGAGAAGAAGAAAAGCAGGTGTGTTTTCACT